TGATGATGATACTCATAGTGATAATATTCCTCAGCAGGGGGAGCCTTCATCTGAAGACGAAGCTGAAGGTATTCATGTTCGACGTTCTATGCGAGGCATAGTTCCACAGAGAAAGTATTCCACATCTGAATGGATAGTTGTTGCCAGCGAGGGGGAGCCAGCGAGCATCACAGGAACAAGAGAAATTATGAAAAAGGTGGAGGGGGAGATTTGTAAGGAACTTCCACCTTCTTTCTTGGAAGTTGCCAAGAGGCATCTCACACCTTCTAGGAAGGAGTTATCCAACAAATGAACATGGGAAGAGATTTCTTGGAGATAGCTAGGAAACTCCATAGCAATGGGAATGGAAGCTTGGATGCAACTTCCTCATGTCTCCCATATACACCAATAAATAGGGAGTGTATTGTTGTTCATTTGTATCAGTTTAGAAAGTGAGAAAAGTGTGTGAAGAGTGAAAATACACTTAGAGTAGAAGTGTATTGGTGAGGATTGGTTTTTTGTAATAGTTGAGTGTGAGAGTTTGCTCCTCCTATTGTAATTCTGTTCTTGATATTCAATAGAAGAATTTTCCAATCCCAACAATGGACTCCCATGAAAAGCATCCCAAACCCTTCCTTACACTTCAGTTTGCGACAAAATGGTTGGGGAGATCAAGAATGAATGCATGCTGATATGTTAAGACATTATTATGCTTGGTTCAGTGGTGGAGTAGCAAAATAGACTATTATATAATCTTTTTGTACTAAAAGCATACTTGTAGTAATTTATAGGGAAACTTACATAAATAGAATTAGATCAATATATATATATATATATATATATATATATATATATATATATATTCACATGCCATCTTATTAAGGTTCACTTATAGTCTTACTAAAGTGCAATATAACAACTTGTAAGATGCACATGTCATAATGATAAGATGCAGTGTGAAATATTAATGTGCACATATCATCTTACTAAATTTCAATACGCGAACTTCTAAAATGCACATGTCATAATGATAAAATACAAATTCGTATGATGTGACATGTTTCTCTTATATTATGCATCAGATAAGGGTTATTGTGCATCAGATCGACAGTATGGACGGCTGAGATTAATTCTCATTTTACACGTTAAGATGTCTTCTCATTTGAACTCATCCCTATATAGGTGCGGTTCCAGTAAGAATAGTGTCTTAGAAGAGAAATGAGAATAAAATCTAACCTTTAAATATGTGAGATCAAAGGTTCGGATTGAATGTAAATTAGTGTGGTAGATTGGTAAATAGATTGAACTTTGATGTCAATTATTATGATAGTGATCAATGATTTAATGCGGAGGGCAAAAGTGTAAAGCTCATTAGCATTTAATTGGAAGAATAAGGCATCACCGTTCATGTTTCCATATATTTAAAATCATTGAATGTAATACTTTCTAAAATTTGAGATTATTACTTTATCATGATGGCTGATATTTCAATTCACGTTTCACATATATATACATTTAAAATATTCACTTGAAATTTGTTAACCGCGTAGGTGCACTTTTATTCGATTCAATTTGCACTTTGGAATCCAGAAGTTTGCACATGATCAAAATAAAAGATTTTAAAATTGCTCACGTGCACTTGCAAGGATGCTTATGTCATGCAAAACTTTTGCAATAATAGGTATTATCGATTGATTTGTGTGACCTTACACATATGCTAACGCGCACTTGCAACGATGCACATGTCATGTGCATCTTTTTTATGAATTTGTGCATTAACTTTAACTCAAAAGTATGATGCACATTTGTTGTTAACATATTGCATTACTTGAAAAAAAAATTAGGAACGAGGTCATATATTAAATGTGCATCATTAAAGGAATATAGGTGCATTATTTTTAAATGTATTGCAATTAACTCAAACTTTTTCATAGATGCACTTTTATTTAAACTTTTTGCAACGTTAATTATAGTAATGGTTAAATATACCATATTTCATTCTTCAAAGTTCTTTTTTTGAAATGGTGTAATTCATTGGTACACTTTATGAAGTTAATTAAGTATATGTGCATCTTATCTTATATAAGTACCCGAAGTTCAACATTGATTTCGATACTTTGCACACTTGAAGTATTTAAAGTGCATATTTAGTTTATTTCAAATTTAATTACATTATTTTATTGTTAAAAGTGCATAGGATATGGTTCGTTGCAATTACATTTAGCTCGTAATGCACATTTTCTGTTAAAATGCTACATAATACACGATGCACGTGTGTTGTCAAAATGGCACACAAACATCACAAGCTTAATGTGAAGTAGTGATGCAATAAACCATTTATTTTGTGAAAACATGATTTTTGAAAATATTATGATTCATATTTATGTGGCACCTATTTATAAAAAACTATGATTAACCTTGTTTTTTGTTCATAAAAATTTGGGCACGTTGAAATAATCTGGATACCATTTGTTTTGTAAAATACAAACTCTTACCGAGTAATGTTAAAAAAATGATTTGGAAAGTAATGATTCATAGAAGTGACAATTAAAAAACTAAAAGGTACGGTAACGAAGAAGTCACAAAACACTTTAAAAGGAAAGTATATTAATAATGAAACTTGTGGGGAAGCATTAATCAAGGACTACGTATAAAAAGGAAAGGATAGTAAAATCACAAATTTAACCCTCCGTATTAGAATAAGAAAACTGAAAAAACATCTTGATCTAATGGTGTAGAATCATTCTCATTTCTCTCCTAAGATGGTATTCTCATTTGAACAAAAATCTATATCCCTATATATATATATATATATAGGGATATATGTATATAGGGATATATATAGGGATATATATATATATAGGGAAAAGATCAGGTGAGAAGTATTTCTTAAAATGAGAAGTGAGAAGTAATCTCGCCCTTGGATTTGCATCTAATCTTACAACGCAATAAACTTATAGACTAAATAGGGAAAAGGTGCAAATAGGCCCATGTACTAACCAAAAAAGGCCAGATAAGCCCTTATTTAGGAGGCTCTGTCCGGCCGTCGTCATTTGGGGTGGTTCCCGGTGGATTTTTTTGATGAAATTTTTTGAGCATCTTACTCATCAGGTCTAGTTTACTCATACCAAATTTCAGCTAAAACTTCAATCAGGAAGGCATTCAAATGAATTCTTGAAGATAACTGCGATTCTAACTGCGCAGTTATTTTCAAGAATTCATTTGAATGTCTTCTCCATTGAAGTTTTAGCTGAAATTTGGTATGAGTAAACTAGACTTATTGAATAAGATGCTCAAAAATTTTCATCAAAAATTTTCGACGGGAACCACCCCAAATGGCGACGGCCGGACAGAGCCTCCTAAATAAGGGCTTATTTGACCTTTTTTGGTTAGTACATGGACCTATTTGCACCTTTTCCCGACTAAATATAAGAACTTATAACCAATAAATCATAACTTATAAAGCTCTCCATAATAATTACGAAAATGCCACCGCGTCCAAAAATTTTCCAGGTTTCCGTAATTATTTTTTTCGGTGGCATTTTCGTAATTATTTTCGAGGGGTCTATAAGTTATGATTTATTGGTTAAAAGTTCCTATATTTAGTCTAAAAGTTTAACTTCGCAGTTCTCAACCTAAGAGCACTTCTCACCTGATCCGCTCCATATATATATATATATATATATATATATATATATATATGTATATATATATATATATATATATATATATATATATATATATATGTCTTCACACAAGTAGGGCTGGGACCGGTTCGGTTCTTACTCAAAATGAGTGGAACCGTTATAAAAGTTTTAACTAATGAAATCAGTTCGGTTCCTATATAAAAAATCAAGAACCGTTATGGAACCGAACCGGTAGTAAACGGTTCGATTCTTCCTTTTACCGGTTCCTAGAATAATTTTTTCTCACTAAGAATTAATACATAATTTACTTTCTACAAACAACATAAACACGTCGAAAATTCAAAACACGAGTATTAAAATTTTATTTGAAGCTCTAATCACTTCAAACATCAAAAGATGATTTAAATTTTCATGTAATAAATAAAACATAAAAATCATAGTAGTGTGAGAGCGATGAATGTTACTCGTCATCATAGTAGAAAGAATACGACGTCTACTTGAAGTCTTTCAAAACATAAAAAAATACTTTGAGTTCGCATGTATAGATATATAAAAACATTGTTACATTCTATTGATTCATAATAAATCTAATAATTAGAAATATCATGAAAATAGTAAAGTAAAACATGTGCAATCAACTACAAGTTATTTGAGTTATTTTGTATTTATAAAATTTATGTGATGGAACAAAACTTGATTTGTAGAAAGGAGTTTAATGTATTATATCAACTTCATGTACAATATTTATTACTTCATTTTTGTTGATTAAATTAGAATTGTTAGTTAAATATCTTATATTGTTTTATTATTATTGTTGTGGTGGTGGTTATTATTGCTATTATATTATTATTATTGTTACTACTACTACTACTACTACTACTAATATTATTTTATTTTTTAATAATAGTTCCTTAACGGTTCCATGCATATATTTTTTTATAGGAATGAGGAATTGAACCGTTATAACTCGTTTCGGTTCCTACAAATAAGGTATTAATTGTTAACGGTTCGGCTCCTAGATGTTGTTAACGGTTCAGTTCCAATCGGTTCTATGGTTCCCGATTCCAAAATCCCACCCCTACACACAAGTTCTCACCGTTTGTTCCTGACAATTTGCAGGACTCATTCACTAAGAGGGCAGTCCGGTGCACATTGGCATATGCGCAAGGCAAGGGTCCAGTGCACGACTCATTAAATCTTAGGGAAAAAACATTACTACTTTCATTGCTTTTCTAGGACTAAATGAGTCCTATTTTAAGCACAAAACAAACAAAAAAACTGTGTCCAACTGGAGCGACTCCACCAGTGGGAAAATTGCATGAATAAACTTTCATCTTTAGGAAAAAAGTTAAAGAGAAGGATGCGCATAATTACCAGCTTTCTTGGCTGCACGGAATAAAAGCTCCTCAATGAGGTGTTGCGCAGGATCTCCATCAGGAAATCTCTCCAGAAAAGTTACAACATGGGAAACAACTTCCTCATTGGTCAAGTATTGATATAAGCCATCCCAGGAATTGATCTCCAGGACAGATTCTATGGTGACACAAGGAAGGAGTACAAGATATATTCCCGATATACTCATTTCGGAACATTTCCAATAATGCGTCACTCAACTTACGCTGCATCAAGGATTTCAATATCATTATATATGCAAAAAATCACACTAGTGAAAGAATTTTGACCTTTTCCCTTTTCAGGTACCTTATCAGGTAAAAATAGATTGAAAAATGTACTAAATTGGCTAGATATGTAGTTGCAAAGAAGTGGAGCAATGGAAGTCCGGAACCAAATCAGAATGCCAGGGGCGGCTTTAGAATGTTGGAGGCCCTAGGCGACAAAAATTGCTCTACCATCCCATTAATTTGATCAAAGTTAACTTGTACGTAAAATAATAAAATAAAAAATGTGGATTGATATTTTTGCAAAAAAGAGAAATAATTGTGATTATATATTTATTACGAAATGACAACGTTTTATGAGAATACTAAATAAGGAAAATTAATAAACTTTTGTAGGACGGGGTGAGTATTAGAATTTCTTAATAAGAGTACTATTGTTCTATTCCGAAATTGGACGCATGCACTCCTATTTAGAAAGATTTGTATTCTTTTAATATTTAAATAGGACTACATCCTGTTTTGGGAAGAAAGTGCAATTAGTTTTATTTCAAAACTTTACCCTTGTTTTCATATGCTGTTTATAAGACTTATAGTCATACAAATATTAATATGAAAAAACTGAATAAAACACACAATTTAAAATACAAAGCATGTACAAGTGAAATATAGCTTGTGAATTAAACATAAGCATCAAAGTTGTAATTTCTAATACAATATTGTGAAATTAAAATATTAAACTAAAGAACTACTAGAATCAAATTAATAAATAATTACTCTAACTATTTATTAATTCTGGCTAGCAATCCAATTAATTAAGATTAATACTCAGGGGCTGTTTGGAGCCCATAAAATCGGCTGATAAGCCTTAAAAGATAAAAAAAAAGTGCCAAACACTAGCCAATTGGGCTGTTTGGGCTGATATTTCTGATCAGCCAGAAAAGTAGCAATACCCTGACTTTATCGGCTGAAAGGTATTAATTTACCGTTGAAAAGGTAAACTACCCCTTTACCCTCCCTTCTCTATACCCGTAATACATCTGCCGCTTCTACCACTTCTGGATCGACAGCTTCCAACTTTCATCTGCTCCGCTGCTTAGCTTGGTCCTTTCAGACCGATGAGTTCTCGTTCAGCTTCTCCATATTAAAGGTATGCTGCTCGGCCTCTTCTTCTTCTCGCAGATCCATCATAATCTTTAGAACTTTTACATAAGTGCTCGATTTCTTCCTGCTAAATCAAGAAGGATCTCGAAGAGGGAGCGTTTTATTCCTGAAAACTTTCTTTGTCACTGTTAATATCAATCATACTGTGATCACTTTTTGGTTTCAGCAGCTTGAAAACTATTAGGCTATGAAAAGGAAAGAAAAAAATTCTTATGCTCGGTTTTGCCTCAGAATTGGCAAAGCAAAATGAATATGATTGATGCCAGTTAGCTTTTAATATGATTAGATTGCTAAGCGTTTAAATGATAGCTATAAATTAGTAAATAAGTAAATACCCTTATGGTAATTTTACATGCAATCAGCCATTCCAGCCAAAGAATTACCAAACACTTTTACTTCAGCACATTCAGACTTTTCAGGCTTTTCAGCCCAAACAGCTGGACCAGCTGCTTCCAAACGGCCCCTCAATATACCAAAAAGGAATAACCAATATTGCCTCAATCATAACTTTTAGTCTAACTTTTATACCATTCTAACTATAATTTGTTTATCTCAAAACTTGTTGCTTAAGCCAAACACACAGTGCCGGGAGAGGGATGAGGTCACACGGGGTTGAGGCCTGTGTTGTAAGAACCGAACCGAACCAGCCGGGTTGACCAAGAAACCGGTCACCCGGAGCCCAATCCGGTCCGGTTGAAGCCCAACCCGCAAATGTGGCCGAACCCGGAAAAACCCACTAAACCGTCAGACCGGACCGTAACCCATGACGGCCCAAACCCGGAAATTTTCTAGAAACCGGAATAAATTCAAAAATCCAAAGCAAAGGGGATTCGAACCCGAGTGTAACAGCTGGGAGAGAAGGCCTCAATCCAAGGAGCTGTTGTGGAACGTTTGAACATTTCGATATTTGAGCATATTAAATATATATATATATATATATATATAATATATTACTAATATATAGATTCACTTTTTAATTACTAATCACAATAAAAACATAGCATCCTTAATATAAAGTAATACAGAATACAGTATATGCTGTTACTAATATTATGAGGGAAAAGTGTTTATATAATATTTCATTTTTTAATAAGCATTGTATTTTCTTTTAAAAAAACATTGTATTCATATTTAATATCCATCATTCCATCTAATTAAATATACATTTTATATTTTGTTAAAAATTGTATATTTTAAAATAATAACTCTATTTCTTTGTTGACCGGGTTTTCCGGCGTTGACCGGGTTGACCCGTCGGGTCCGGGCTGACCCGTGACCCGGTCGTTCGGCCGGGTAGCTTCTCGGTCCGGTTCTTACAACATAGGTTGAGGCGTGAGAGAATCCTATGGCCGTTTGGGAATTTCCGATTGTAATCCAGTTTCAACTTCCAAATAATTAAAAACGAAATAATCTTTTTATATTGCTAACACTTTGTACTATTTTGGAGGCCCTCCTCAATTATGAGGCCCAAGGCAAATGCCTGGCCTGACTCCCCTCATGGCCGCCTCTGCAGAATGCCTACTAGTCGTGAGACCAAGAGTTCAGTTTTTCTCCAAAGATGCCTACTAGTAAAAAGTTCAGTTACTTTTTTCTTTTTTACTCTGGAGAGACCCCTCACCTTCTTTTTCTTTCTTGTATTTTTGCTTTTTATCCTTTCATCTTTGTGTGTGTGTGTATATATATAGAGAGAGAAAGGAATGATCCTGTCTAGCCGGATGGACATGACCCTCCGTTCGGCCGCCACCAATTGATGTGGTTCCCGGTGGAATTTTTTGATGATTTTTTTTAGCAAGTTCTTCATAAAGTCTAGTTTATCCATAACAAATTTCAGCTAAAAATTCAATCAGGAAGGTAGTCAAATAAATTTGTGAAGATAACTGCGCCAAAATATACATATAAAACGTAGTTATATCCCCATCTCTTTTTATATTATCTTTTTCATTGTAGCTTATCTTTCTTATCTTTCTTTTCCTTTTGGTTCCGATATCATGTATCGAGTCATGTTAACTGACCCCAAAATCTTTTGGGATTAAGGCTTGAATGTTGTTGTACTCTGAAGAGATAAAAACCTGTTTCAGGGAGCCTGCTCCAAAAGCGCGGGTGACCTTTAGGCGGCCTTTAACTCTATCATTTACAATACAGTTGTTGTCATCAGGATGTTCGTTCTTGATTCTAATAACCTCCTGGAGAAGTTTTAAGGAAATGATTTTAGACTATGAAAACAAATAACAACATAATGTAATACATATATGACAGATGAACATATAAAAGGAAAATTAAGAAAAACCAAGAGTATCTCCAGGAGTCCAGGGGGATACACTGTTTTAATTCATCACAATGGCCAAGTGGCAACAGGACTGCACAAAGTATCCTCGGAACAATTGAAAAATTAACAAGGAATAGGTCGATTTGCATTCCCAAATGCATTCTCTTACTAAAGAAAATAGAGTATCATATGAAATGAATAACGGATTATGTCATTTTTCTAATGAGCATTTCACCATTCAAACCCTCAACTCAATTAGGTAAGCATAAGAGCAGTGACCTTTCTCATAGGGTCCTGAACTCGTACTTTAGATTATAGAACTAATACATAGCCATTCTCTATATTTGAGGCCCATTCTAGTTGGGAGTTAAGAGCCATGATAACATAAAAATGATATGGCTTCCACTATGTGTTACACAGTTTCAAATGTTAGCAAATTGTAATCATAAGGAAGTTTTTAACAATAGCAAATGATAATCGTAAGGAAATTCCACAGTTCCATCAATGTTGAGTACTACTTTGACCCCAGTTGAGCTAATACTTGCCTGTTCCACAGGAGTACCGTAAGAAGCTATTAACTTTCTTTTTTAGCCGTCCCAACAAACTTTGTCATTTCCCTTTAAAGTAATAAATATGTGGTTATAATTATCTCTCTTCTGCCCAAATCTGAACTATACAATTTTTACATTAAAATTTCCTTGCGCAAGTCAAATTTGACCATATTTTGTGAGACGGAAGGAGTATGTAAAAAACTAAAGACATGTTTACTTCACAGTTAATTTCACCGTTAGCTTATTAAAACAGGTGAAGTAAACAATTTTTGAATAAATGTTTGTTTTTAACACTTTTTATATCTTAAAGTGTTGCTTGGTAAACACTTTATCCCATGTTTTACTACGCAAGATGTTAAGGGGCTGTTTACTTTCAGTGATATTTTCTGGTTTTTTAGAATTTTGGAAAATTGGAAAAATGAAAACAGGAAATTGAGTTTACCGAAAAAATTAGCTGGAAAACCGGAGAAAGAAAAATAGGAAAATGTGTATCAAATCATTTTCCAAAACCAAAAAATGAGATATGTCTCTGTTTTCCCCTAATGAATTGGAGAATATATTTTTACTAGTTTTCCAAATTTAAGATACTTAAATGTTGCAGTGCGGCTGTAATGAATTTGCATACTTACGTCTAGTGGTGGATCCGATCCTGTTATGCTCTTGGGTCCAATATGGTCGATGATCGGGCAGACCGGCCTGCTTCGATCCCAACTATCCTATACTCGGGACTGGGTACCCTATTTGGGTTGTACTAAGTTTGGTTCCAGACCGGGATCGTACTTTCAGTCTGCCGGCCGTTCCTAGAACCGAGTGAAAAAAATTGATTATAATGTTTTTGAAAATGAAAAACTGATAAATTAAAAATGAAAATTGGAGATAGAAAAAAAATTAAAACGGAAAATTGGAGAATGGAAATCAGAAAAGATAATTAGAAAATGTCTCTGTCAGTCAACGGGTCCTAAACTTTTTCATATTGACAAGTATACCTCTTTTGCATCCTAAAATGA